ATTCCCAACGCATACAAGAGATGTCTATGTCTCTGGATGGGATACCCATAGTACGAACTTGGGGTACAAAGGTTGGATATCCCCAGCACACCTAAAAAAAAATTCATGTTTTTTGTACTAGGTATTTAATTAAGAAAGAAATATTTGCACTAAATAGCATTAAAACTTAAGTTATTTGCACTAATTTGCATTAAATAGGACTAAAACATAATGACTTTCCTAATGTAGGACTTAAACTTTTTTATTTCCTAAATAGGAGTTAATAATGACCTAGTGAGAGGAATAATGTCCAGTAATATAATGATGGACATTTACTTGAATAATGACTACTTGATAATGACCAAAAGTCCTTATGGTTTTATATTAGGAAAGTCATTATGTTTCAGTCCTATTTAGGTAGATTTCTCTTTTCTTAAATAGTAGTTAAACTTTTTTTCCCTAAATAACACCTCATAATGTCCATGACGAACATTTTTTTCTCCTAAATGGTATCACTTAAATTATGAACATTTTTCCGTCCCGTCACTAATTCGGAGTAGATGAATTTCATTTTCAGGTTGATGAGCAAGAAGATAACAGACGAGAAGTTCCTTATCGACGCCGCCATTGCGATCGTTCTTGGCGGCGTCGACACGATGGTCTCCGCCTTCACTTGGCTCTTCTGGATCGTCGCCCGCCACCCCGAGGTGGAGGCGAAGATTCTCAAAGAGATCGAGGACTACGACGCCGGGAAGATCAAAGAGCTAGTGTACATCCACGCCGCCGTCGCCGAGAGCATGAGGCTCAACCCGCCGGTGCCGCTTGAGGGAAAACAGGCGAGAGCCGACGACGTGTGGCCCGACGGGACAAGGGTGCAGAAGGGGATGGGAGTGATCTGCCACACCTACGCGGTGGGCCGGTCTGCGGCGGTGTGGGGACCCGACTGGATGGAGTTCAAGCCGGAGAGATGGTTGAAGAAAGAAGACGGCGCCGGCGCCGGGGAGGAGCGGTGGAGTTTCGCGGCGAAGGATGCCTTCACTTATCCAGTGTTTCAAGCCGGGCCGAGGATATGCTTGGGGAAGGACATCGCGTTCATCCAGCTGAAGATGGTGGCTGCCGCGGTGTTGCGGCGTTTCCGGGTGGTGGACGCCGCCGCGAACGGCGGCGGCCTGCCGCTCTGTGAATCCTATATCAGCTGCAGGATGAAAGATGGGTTTCCCGTACGCATTGTGGAGCGTGGTAGCATGCAGCAAAGTCCATAAAAATGGAGGGGACGTTGCATGAATTCAAACCATATATTATTATGAAAATAATTCGTTTTTAATTATTATTGTTATTATGTTTTTATAAATGTCTTTATGTCAATAAGTTCCCTCCATTTCCCCGTTTTAGGCAATTGCGCCATTGAACATTTCATATTTTCATTTTAATATGATGCACGGGTAATGGTTGTTGGAATAAATGATTTTTGGTACACAAAAAATAGATGTTTTAAAAGAGTTGGTTAACCAATTCCATGTTTTTGAAAAGTGTGCATTTATTTTTGAATAAATTCCATAAATGATCCCTAATTATATGTAGTTTTCCATACTTAATTTCAAATTATAAAATATTCCAGAAACAGCCCTCATTTTTTGAAAAGTACTCTACAAATAGTCAAATAGTCCTTTTCACCAGATATGACAAAATGTTTTGAGTAAATTCTCAAAATAGTGCTTTTTAATAAGGTTTTTTTCCGAAATAATTCTTAATAAGAAAATTTTTTTACATAGTCTTTTATAATTGAGATGCATTTCCTAAATAATCTTTTATAAAAAATGCCTATTAAATGATAGTTAAATACAAGGTATTCTGATGTTCATTATTTTTTATATTATGAATAAGTCTTTAAAATAAGTTTTTTTAATTAAGTGGAAGGCTAGTAGGAGAAGGGATCAAACCCGAGTTGGCTCATGGACTCCATTTCGAAAAAAATATTTACTTAAACTATATCGGTTTGAAAAAAAATACTTAATTATCAATAAACATTTCGAGAACATACTTTAAGCGCCGAGAATAAAAAATATCAAAATATCTTCTAATTGACTGATATTTAATAGACATTTTAGTCAAAAGATCATTTAGGAAATAAATCTAAATTTTAAAGGACCACGTTTGTAATTGTTGTTTATTAGTAGCCTCACACTTAATTTAAAAAAATATTTTGAAGACTTATTCATAGTTTAGATAATAAAGAGCATCCAAATACTCTCTATTTAACTAAGATTTAATAGGCATTTTTTTATAAAGGACTGTTCAGGAAACACATCTCAGTTATAAAGAACCAAATTAGTAATTTTTGCTTATTGAGGATTACTTTGGGAAAAATCTTATTAAAAGGACAATTCTTAGAATTTAGTAAAAATATTTTGTCATATTTGGTGAAAAAGACTATTTGTGGAATTCTTTTCAAAAATTGAGGACTGTTTATAGAAAATCTTATAATAGGAGACTAAATATAAAAAAACTACATATAATTGGGGACTATTAATGAAATTTACTCTTTATTTTTTATAAATACTCACGGCGTGCACATTATAAAATTAGTACTCTTTTCGTCATAAACAAATGTCACCATTTACTATTTAAAAATCGCAAGAACTTTTGTTTATTTGTACGTTTTCATCGATTATTTGATAAAATAAAATATTTTTGTCACCTCTTATTTTGAAAATTTTTGACGTAATCTTTAAGTATGTAATTTTTTCTACATCAATCTCTAAATAAAATGAATTTAAAAACTTTAAATTTTGTTTGGAAAACTTTTATATACTCGAGTACTATACTTAGGTCATATTCTCTTCAACTTATGTCATGTTCTCTTCAACTTATTCTTTACACTTACTCAATCTGTCCCACAAAATGTTTCTGGTTTTGACTATTAAAGGATTTAAAAGGAGTGTATCTTAGAGTTGACTTTTTAAAAATATATTTGGATGTGATTTGTAAAAGTACGATGTAGTGTGTAGATTAATAAAGAGAAAGTATGATGTAATAGGTAGGTTAATAGTTAGGAGTAAAAATTACTTTTTAATATAAATGAGAAAGGTTTTTGGGGCTGGATGAAAAAAGAAAGGAGAAAGGTTTTTTGGGGCAGAGGAATTACTTTTCCTTATTAGAATCGGATCATACCAGATCAGACCATATCAGAAATAGCTTTAAATATACCTATATCCAGATCAGACCAGATCAGAATAGAACTTATTCCAATCATATCAGAACCATTCAGATCAGGAGAAGAGAACATGACCTTATTCTTATTACTTACTCCCTCCGTCCCTAATTCTAAGCAACATTTCAAAAGTAAAAATTACATCGTTCAAAAGTAAATAAAAAATTCTACAAAACAAGATGCGACAAGAATATTTTATTTTATCAAATCGTCAACCAAAACAAATAAACAAACAAAAGTTATCAAGAAGTCGAAATAGTAAACATAGCTTACATTTTGGGACGGATGGAGTATTACTCTTCTTATTGAAATTAGATCAGAAATAGTTTTGAATATAACTATGTTCATATCAGGCCAGATCTGATCGGAACTTAATTATTTCAATCAGATCAAAATCATTCAGATCAGGTGAAGAGAACATGGCTTTATTCTTATTCTTTATTACTTTTACTTATTGATACCAGATCAGATCAGAAATAAGTTTAAATATAATTATATTAAGATCAGATCAAAACTTATTCCAATCAATCAAAACTATTCAGATTAGGAGCAGAAAATATGGTCTTATTGGATGTACATAAACGATGGTATATTGGGTTGTGTCGAAGGAATAATTTGTCTCAAATAGTTAAGTGTTCAAAGAACCTCTAATATACGGAGTAGCTTAATTGATTTAAACTTTTTTCTGTGTTCATTTATTTAGTTTTGGCACTCTAGTTTTGCAATCGGATCCATAAGTCACTCCAAAATAACCAAAGTGACTCTATAAACCCTTTATAAACATTTTAACTAGAAGAAAAGATTGTTATCCTTCAAAATAAGTGGAGTTATAAGCACATTTTATTTAAGCTCATTCATCTCTGATGGATTATTATTAATAATTGTGAAATATAACCAATTATAAACAATACTAGTTTTCTACCCCGTGCTTCGCACGGGCTTTGGATGTGTTCACGTGTCTATTAATTAACATTATCATTCTCAGACTTTTTTGGTAAAACTATGTAATGTTGGAAATTTTAAGTAAATTGGACATTTTTCGGACATTAATTCAGTTGGGTCCACAAAATTATTTTTCGAAATAATTATGGACGTTTAATCTCGGCAGTAAGACGAATGTCTTGACATATGACACGCCATAAACGGTGCTCGGGTGAATGAAAAATTAATTCTCAAAGTTGAATACGAGGGTAGAGTAAATACTCTTATCCAACACCGGTTTTTGAACCTTTCATATTCCCATATTTAAATTTAGGCCTTTAATTGAGCTTATGAAAGGAACAAGAAGAGGACTCCTCGCGCGCCGCCGCCGCCGTCCGGCTCGGCACGACACACAGGCGGGGTGGGGCTAACTTTTTACGAGACCGAATCGAACACGTGTGGACATTTCGTGATTAACGAAGTGTCGTCCAAGGGTTGAAGCATGCATGCATAAACGGACGAAGAGTCACTCGACTCTTCGTAATGTCCGACGGTCCAGCGAAGGGCCAACTTCCTCGGCCATAAAAGAAGGGGTTGGCCGCAGAGATGAACACACCAGTACACACTCGAAAATATCTCTGCGTTCTAAAGGTTCCGACAACTCCCCAACTCCGATCATCTTCTTCGGCGATAGCTCTCCGTCATTCTCGTTCGCCGGTGCTCTGTTCTACCGCTCTAGACTTAGCATGCTGCGGTTTTATCCTGGGAGGAGATTCCCCAAGTTTGCCAGTGCGGGAGGCGGGCAATACTACCTTAAGAAAAGCTCCGGCGACTCCGCTTTCCTTACCCTTCTTCCAAGAAACTGTTCCGGCTACGCTCCTACTGGCGTAGCTTTTTCGTCTTCCCGTTCCGTCCGTTTGAATTCCGCTCCCGAAGAACTCCAACTTTTCTTTTCTTTATTTTGTTGTAAAATCTGAACGTTTTTTTTAAGTTCGGATTATTATTTTAATTTTATTCCCGCTGTAATATTTAACAATCTTAAGGTAGTAGCCTCGATGGAGTTCGGATTCGGCATTGTAGGTTCCTCCGGCAACGGGAGGAGTTCCGAAATCCCGGTGGAAACCTCTTCGGTTGCCATGGTTGTGCCGTCCTCACCACTGCCCTTCGGGTCAAGTGTGGGGGCCGCAACCATGACGTCTTTCTCGATGCCGAGCTCGATCTTCGGGTCGGCCCCTCGACCCATTCCCGGGCTCGAAACCACGAGGGACTACCCCGTTGGTAATTCGAACCCATTTCTTGGACCGACTGTGGCTTCGGCCTCGACGGTCAACTTTGGACCGAACGCTGGTTTCCCCGCACCGGTCAATCCATTCGTTGGACCTCATTGGGCGACCAACAGGCCTTTCCTCCACACGCCCAACGCAGTTGGGGCGATTTCGGTGCCGGCTAGTTCGGTCCAAAGGCCACCGAAGTTCAATGGCACGAACTCCAAAATGTGGCAACAAAAGATGACGTTCTTCTTGACCGTCCTAGGATTTGCTGAGTACCTGCAGCAAGATCCTCCCCAGCCCAACGAAGCCAACGACCCCCTCGTGGCGATGGTGAACCAAGCATGGTACCACAACAACTATCTCGTCATCAACATTATCCTTGAGGGGTTGGGAGATACGCTGTACCCCGTCTACGCCGGTGCAAAGCTTGCCAAGGAGCTTTGGAACAGCTTGAACAAAAAGTATCAAGCTGAAGATGCCGGCACAAAGAAGTTCATCGTCGGGAAAATGCTGGACTACAAGATGTTCGACAGAAAATCTGTTGTCGCCCAGGCTGAGGAGCTTACGGTAATCTTCAACAAATGCAATGAAGAAAAAGTAGGCGTCAGCGAGGCCTTCCAAGTGGCGGCCATCATCCACAAACTTCCCCGGTCGTGGGAAGACTTCCAAGCCGACCTCAAGCTCAAAAGAACGGAGCTGAACTTGGAGCAACTGCTCACGCGGTTGAGGATTCGAGAGGAAGGGCTTGCCAGAAGAGGTGGAGGGGCAAAGGCGAATGTGGTAGAACATCCGTCGGGCTCCTCACATGGCGGGAAGGACAAAAAGAAAATAGGTCCTAAGGGTGGCGTTTCTAAATTCGCAGGAAAATGCTACAATTGTGGCATCACCGGGCATCGTTCCTCCGACTGTAGGAAAAAGAAGCCACAGAAGAACAAGAAGAAAACCACAAAAGCCATGTGCACAGAGCTCGACAACTTGGACCTCTGCGCAGTCGTCACTGAGGTGAATCTCGTCGGGTCAAACCCGAGGGAATGGTTTGTGGACACAGGGGCCACACGCCATTTTTTCTCAAACAGGAGCATGTTTCACGACTTCCAAGAGACCTCTGGTGACAAGGTCTGGATGGGCAATTCGGCCCAGTCAGAGGTTCAAGGCGTGGGCAAGATTAAGCTCAAAATGACCTCAAGCAAAGAGTTAACGCTTAACGACGTGCTCTATGTGCCAGATATTCGCAAGAATTTAGTGTCAGGGTCATTGCTGATCAAACACGGCTTTCGGATGGTGTTTGAATCAGACAAGCTAATTTTGTTTAAGAAAGGGATTTTTATTGGGAAAGGTTATATTTCTGATGGGCTAGTCAAGCTCAATGTAATGACTGTGCATGAAAAGATCAATAAAAATCCTATTGCTTATGTGTGTGAGTCCTCTAGTTTATGGCATGGTAGACTAGGACATGTTAATTATGCATCTCTTCGGAAACTAATTAACATGGAACACATACCTAAGTTTAGTATTGACTTAACTCACAAGTGTGAAACTTGTGTTGAGGCAAAGTCAACTCGAAGTTCGTTTCAAACAATCAAACGAAACACTCAACCTCTAGAGTTGGTTCACACCGACTTATGTGATTTTCGAACAACGCCTTCAAGAGGAGGTAATAAGTACTTTATTAACTTCTTCGATGATAGCACGAAATATTGCTATATCTATTTACTAAAAAGTAAAGATGAAGCGTTAGACAATTTTATTCGATATAAGAATGAAGTGGAAAATCAACTCAATCGCAAAATCAAAGCATTGAGAAGCGATAGAGGTGGTGAGTATGATGCTCCACTTAATAAGTTTTGTGAACAACATGGAATAGTGCATCAAGTAACCCCACCGTATACACCACAGTCTAACGGTGTAGCGGAGCGGAAAAATCGCACTCTGAAAGACATGATGAATGCGATGCTACTTAGTTCTGGATTATCCCAGAACATGTGGGGGGAGGCTGTTTTATCAAGTAATTATTTACTAAATAAAATACCTCATAAGAAACTTGACAAAACTCCGTATGAACTTTGGCATAATAGGAAACCTTCCTATAAGTATCTCAAAGTGTGGGGGTGTCTCGCGAAAGTACTTGCACCACCACTAAAGAAGATGAAGATCGGTCCAAAAACAGTTGATGGAATCTTCTCGGGTACAATAGTACGTCATACCGGTTCTTGGTGTACAAATCAGATAATCCTGAAATTCACAAGAACACAATCATTGAGTCACGGAATGCAACGTTTTTCGAGCACATTTTTCCGTGCAAGTCAAGAGACGAAGCCAGTTCGTCCAAACATTCTCATACTGAGATGATGGATAACGATGATCCAAATCAGTTGAATTCCGATGACGATGATGAAGTCGAACATGAGACTGAACTGAGACGAAGTAAAAGAATACGAACTGAAAAGACGTTCGGTTCTGACTTCATAACATATCTGATAGAATTTGACAAAGGAACTTTGTCATTTCTAATGGAAAATGAACCCGATATTCTAACCTGTTTGGTAGAAAAGGAACCACGAACCTATCACGAGGCCGTAACCTCAACTGAAGGACCTCAGTGGAGAGAAGCCATAAAAAGTGAAGTTGATTCTATTCTTCAGAATCACACGTGGGAATTGGTTGATCTCCCTTCGGGGTGTAAACCATTAGGTTCTAAATGGGTCTTTCGGATGAAAATGAAGCCTGACGGCTCCATTGACAAGTACAAAGCTAGACTTGTGATCAAGGGGTATAGCCAACGCGAGGGCTATGACTACTTTGATACCTACGCGCTTGTGACTAGGATAGATTCTATCAGAATGATCATCGCATTTGCATCCTTACGAAACCTGAATGTTTACCAAATGGATGTAAAGACTGCTTTTCTAAATGGCGAACTAGATGAAGAAATCTATATGGAACAACCCGAGGGGTTTAAGGTTCCGGGCCAAGAAAGGAAGGTGTGCAAACTCGTGAAATCATTATATGGTCTTGGAATCAAAATACTGAGAAGACCAGATGGTCTAAGCTTGAGCCAATCCCACTACATTGACAAAATCCTTGAAAAATTCAACAAGGATTATACAAAGATAGCTAAGACGCCGATAGACGTAAATGTTCATCTTGGTAAACACCGAGGAAGTAGCGATTCTCAGACAGAATACGCTAGAGTTATCGGAAGTCTGATGTATCTGATGAGCTGCACTCGGCCAGATTTAGCTTGCGCTATTAGCAAACTAAGTAGGTATACTAGCAATCCGAGTGTTGAGCACTCGAAGGCCATAGTCCGAGTAATGAGATACCTTCGGTATACTCGAGATTATAGCCTATGCTATGGCAGGTATCCACCCGTGCTGGAAGGGTACACTGATGCCAATTGGATTGCGGATAATAAGGATTCAAAATCCAGAAGCGGATTTATCTTTATGTTAGCCGGTGCAGCTGTATCGTGGAAATCCTCAAAACAAACGTTAATTGCCAGATCCACCATGGAGTCTGAATTCATAACACTAGATAAGTGCGCAGAACATGGCGAGTGGCTTCGGAATTTACTTGAGGATATTCCAAATTGGGAAAAACCAGTTCCTCCTATTTGCATTTATTGTGACTGTCAGTCAGCAATAGGACGAGCTCGGAACAAATTGTATAATGGTAAGTCTAGGCACATTCGCCGTAGACACAAAATCATTAGGCAACTTCTCAATACGGGTATTATCTCGATTGACTATGTCAAGTCAAAGGATAATTTAGCGGATCCATTAACCAAAGGGTTAACCAATGAGCAACATGAGAAGTTAGTAGTAGGAATGGGTCTGAAAGCCCTACCCTGTGCTGGGAACTTTCTATGAAGGAAAACCCAACCTAGGTGGTACCTGGGTTCAATGGGACAACCTACTTGTGGAACGAAGCACGGTGACTGTGGGGGAAAGTCGGATCACCAACTAACACCCCTCCGTTCCTACTGAGATATAGTGACTCCCGAAAACAATGAGGATAGCATGACGCTTTAATGATTCTTGAACTATGGACAAAAAGGTCCAAGTGGAGTAATCGGGATACTCTTAGAAGAATCACCTATGTAAGAGTGAAGTGCGGTCGCTTCAACAGAAGGATTTCGGGCTAATCCTATCTGACACTCTCGCAGAACCAGAAGCGTGTTCCACGACCATAATGGGCACACCCATGAGAACGGAATGATGGTTGGTTGAAACTTGTGTATTGTATATCGTCGTTTACATAAACGGTAGTACAGTTCAAAGACATCACGTTCTACTGAACAGCCAGTAGAGAAGGTATACTTTACAAGGAGTAGGTTCAAAGGCATAAAACCTACCTACTCTTGCAAGTTTCAACTTCAGAGTTATTGCCAGTTACATGAATTAATTTTCATTCATGTGGGGGATTGTTGGAAATTTTAAGTAAATTGGACATTTTTCGGACATTAATTCAGTTGGGTCCACAAAATTATTTTTCGAAATAATTATGGACGTTTAATCTCGAAAGTAAGACGAACGTCTTCACATATGACACGCCATAAACGGTGCTCGGGTAAATGAGAAATTAATTCTCAAAGTTGAATACGAGGGTAGAGTAAATACTTTTGTCCCACACCGGTTTTTGAACCTTTCATATTCCCATATTTAAGCTTAGGCCTTTAATTGAGCTTATGAAAGGAACAAGAAGAGGACTCCTCGCGCGCCGCCGCAGTCTGTCACGCGCGCGCGCCGCGGCGGGGCGAGGCGTGGCTAACTTTTTACGAGACCGAATCAAACACGCGTGGACACTTCGTGATTAACGAAGTGTCGTCCAAGGGTTGAAGCATGCATGCATAAACAGACGAAGAGTCACTCGACTCTTCGTAATGTCCGACGGTCCAGCGAAGGGCCAACTTCCTCTCCCATAAAAGGAGGGGTTGGCCGCAGAGATGAACACACCAGTACACACTCGAAAATATCTCTGCGTTCTAAAGGTTCCGACAACTCCCCAACTCCGATCATCTTCTTCGGCGATAGCTCTCCGTCATTCTCGTTCGACGGTGCTCTGTTCTACCGCTTTAGACTTAGCACGCTGCGGTTTTATCCTGGGAGGAGATTGCCCACGTTTGCCAGTGCGGGAGGCGGGCAATACTACCTTAAGGAAAGCTCCGACGACTCCGCTTTCCTTACCCTTCTTCCAAGAAACTGTCCCGGCGACGCTCCTACCGGCGTAGCTTTTTCGTCTTCCCGTTCCGTCCGTTCGCGTTCCGCTCTCGAAGAACTCCAACTTTTCTTTTCTTTATTTTGTTGTAAAATCCGAACGTTTTTTTAAGTTCGGATTATTATTTTAATTTTATTCCCGCTGTAATATTAAACATGTAAAATTTTGATTACAAATTCAATACAGTTTTAAATAATTAAATATCATAAAATTCTGATTAATGAAAATAGTATTTTAAATGGACACAATTTTTATAAATTTACACACTTTTCTGTTAAAGTATAGAGCAACTTGACTAAAAATATCAAATTCTTATTAAATGATATACTAATGAAAATTGATTTAACTAATGAAAAAATAAAATAAAAATGCCAAATAAATTAAGGTAATGATAAATCATTGAAAAATACATATGCGGTATATGGCCTATATGCCATGTGTTATACTTCAAGAAAAACAAATTAATTTAATTTAATTTGTTGAAATGATATATAGCAAATTAAATAGTGTTACAGATAAAACATTTTGAAATAAAATACAGTATATAGTTAGTAAATATATAGTTAATCAAATATAGTTATTTGGTAAAATAACAATATAAAATAAATGGTGGATTGTTATATACATATACATACATACATACATACATACATACATACATACATACATATATATATATATATATATAATATTATCTATTTTAATTCTTTAATATGATATATGATGTTTATAAAAACCTAATAAAAAAATATGCATTTATGACATAACTTGTGGTATCGCATGTGGCATGGTGTGGACACGTGATGTGAAAAATTTTATACAAACTAAATGATCACTGGAAAAACTAATGAAGAAATAATTTTTAATTAAAAAATTATAATAACAAATTTCAAATGAATCAATTAAGTAAATGATCACTGGAAAAACTAATGAAGAAATAATTTTTAATTAAAAAATTATAATAACAAATTTCAACTCTAACTTTGTTTTGTTTAGTTTGTTGAAAGAAATATACACCATATACTAAGAGCATTGGGTATACATGTAACGTCGACCGGCGTTAGGGACGTTTTAACGCCCGGGGAGCGTTAAACACCGTCCCCCGGCGGCGTTACTCGGGCGTGAGACGGCCTGCGTCAAAGGAATGACGCTTAGTCATTCTCTTCCCCTCCCCCCTTTAACGGCTTTAATAGCCGTTGGACCCAAAAAAAAAGTTTTCCTTATAAATTCAAACCCCCCCCCTCCCAATCTCTCACACCTTCCCTCTTCACTCTTCTTCAATCTTCTTCTTCCCATAATTTCGAAATCACCCCCTCTCTTTTCAACATGAATCCTTCCAGCTCCGGCTTCTTTCCCGATGATCTCCCGCCGAGCGACGCCGCGATATGGTTTTACCAAGAGTAGGGCGATCGACCGCCGATCTACGAGACGCAACAATCGGGGTACGTCGAGCGAGATTCGTTTCCGGAGACTCAACCGGAACCGACCGGGTTGAAAAAAAGTACACGCCGGAAAAGCCACAAAGCCAAAGCCACGATGACCGAGGCGGAACGATCAATCTAAAAGTGGACGCCGGAGGAGGAGTGCTTATTAGCGTCGGCCTGGGTTGACGTCTCCGAGCATCCTATCATTGGTAAAAAATTTATTTTTTCTAATATATTTATGTTTTTATTTATATATATATTATATTTAATCGTGTCTAAAAAAGATTGTGTTATACTTTTTTAATGGTCCGGAGCAAACGAAAGATGCGATGTGGGATCGTATCGAGGAGAAGTTCTTCACGGCGATGAACAAGGACGCCTCCTACCGAACCTGGGACCAACTCACTTCCAAATGGAGCCACATCAACCGTAAAGTCTGAAAGTTTATCGGAGTTTACGAGGAATGCTCCCGGTCCCGGAGGAGCGGGACGAACGACGCCGATGTTCTCCGGCTTGCCACGGCCCGGTATCAAGACGACGGGCACCAAGGCAAGGTGCCCGTCGATCTTTTGAGGATTTTGAGCAGTTCCCCGAAGTGGCAACAACTCAACAATCCCGACAGCGGATCGTTCCGGAAAAGATCCTCCGTCGACGCAGAGGTTGAGGTCGACGAGACTATCGGTTCGACCGATCAAATCCCTCCCTTCAACATTGCGGATTCCGATGACGAGGACCCCATTCCACGGTCGATCGGAAGGAAGAAGGCAAAATCCATTGCCTCGGGTTCGGGAGGGTCCGGCTCTGTTTCCGTTTCTTCCCGCGACGAAATCGGCCGGGAAATGGTTGAACGACTTCGGGCGTTCAATCTCCGAGAACAAGAGAGGTTGAAGCTAAAGGAGAAGGAGTTGAAGCTAAAGGAGCAGGAGGCCGAGATGAAAGTCATGGAAACCGACCTTTCTACGTTGTCGGAGATTGGACGAATGCTCTACGAGCAAAGAATAAAAGAGATCAAGGAGAAATATAATTTTCCTTAGTTTTTTTATTAATGTATCTTTTTTTTATTATTGTCGCTTTTTTTTATTTAATGAATGTATTTTTTTATTTAATGAATGTATTTTTTTATTATTCGTGTTTCAATATAATTAAATAATAAATTAATTACATTTTATTAATTTAATTTTAGAAGATGTATATTTAAAAATGTAAAAAATGAAGGTTTGAAGCCCCGGGGCTTCAAACCCATTTCCAGTGAATGTTGGGTGTAAGTTAAAGCTGACGTGGCAGAGAGAGAAAGTTTGAAGTTTCGGTTTGAAGCCCCGGGGCTTCAAACGTATTTCCAATGCCCTAAAATATACTTCGAAGTATGTAATAGGACAAAAAGTTGAAATAATTTTGTATTTAATAAATATTTATATGTGATAAAAATGTTATAATACTGCTTTGAATATTTAATAACAATAAATGTTCTTTTTGCTCAATAATAATGGTTATTTAGTGCAAGAAAGTGAAGGGTTTATAAAAATATAATAAAAATAAAAGTTATTTAATGTACAAAAGTGAAGGTGTTTCGTGAAACTTTAATAATAATAAATATATACATGTGGCATGACACACCCCGAGGTGTAATGCACACGTGACCTAAAAATTTTATACAAATGTAATGGATATCAAATAAAATAATAATGAAAATTGTTTTAATTAATAAAAATTAATATAAAAATGTCAAATAAATCAATTAAGTAATGACACATCATTAGAGAATGCATATCTGTCATGTGCCACATGTAATCCATCAATTGAACTTTCACTTTGTTCACTTTGCTAAAAAATATATAATAAAATAAGACAAAAAATTGAAATATGTTATGAAGTTAATAAACATGCATGTGTGATAAAATTTATATATAATAGTTTCTTTTGAGATGCTGGATAATTTTAAAAATTATAAGAAACATTTTTTCTTAATTAATAAATTTTATATAATTTTTTTTTAATATTATAAAATTGTCACGCATATTTAAAAAAATATTTCTAAAATAGTTAGGAAGTGAAAATTTAATAAAAAAAAAGAATGAAAATAAGGGTTTTTTATTGTTGGAAAGTGAAGGGTTTATAAAATATAATAAAAATAATAATTTAATGCAAAGTTAAATATGCATGTGTGGAGTGACATGTGTCTTGAGATTTACATGTGGCATGACACATGTCAGTAGTATGTACGTGTGGCATGACACATGTCAGTAGTATGCACGTGTGGCATGACACGTGTCATCACCACAAGTGTTTAACTCTCTTTTACATATATATATATATATATATATATATATATATATAGAGGAAGGATTGGCAGGTAAACGAGCAAAAAGCTATGCCGCAACCCCTTTTGGAACTTCAATATTAATGGTGTGATTCTAAAATGGCACCGCGACCAATAATGACGTGTAGAAAATGGATTGAAAGTTGTAAAGGGAACTTCAACATACATTGGTGTGATTCAAATGGGAATGCCGTGAAAGTGATGAACTTGTTGCTCTACAGTTTCATTTGTATTAATTAGATGATCGTTAGAGCATCTATATTGTCCTAAGGAGTTGGTTAAGAGTTTATGTTCTACATGACATTGACACCTATTTTATTTGGTTTTCTTTTGTAATTTTGTGTACTAATACAAAAGAATTTTATGATTATATTAAATAACCATAAAAATTGTCACTTGAAACTGACATTTTGAGCAATGGTTTATTTAGGCCGTAGCGTCCAAGTTTAATTGTAGCTTATACGGAAATTAAATTTGACTGTCAACACTTAAAAATATTAACTTCCAACATGAAATGTTATCCAAATCTCTAACGGTAATTATCAATCGTTATTCCCAAATAAAAAACAAAACACAATCCGCAGATACAAGAGACGCCTATGGGAACAACAAATCAACAGTTTGACAAACCATAGTTACCAGCAAATTTAAATACGAAAAAACAATGTTACAAATGGGAACACACCAATGACTTGCATTTTAATGCATTCTCCACCAGGATTGTCATATCATATCAGGAGCAGCAGTACTATTCAACAAGACAAATAGTTTGTCATGTTTGTAAAGACATTGGTGTCAAACTTGGGGTCACGTTTGGAGTACCCCAGCAAGCATGACTCTTTTTGGTTAACCTTAGCCTGGGGAGGAATGGGTTTTATTTATTTATTTATTTATTTATTTATTTTTGCAAATTTTGAATCAATCATCACGTGTTTATTCATTTCATGGCGCCACTAGGGTTCTGAAGATGGATTCACATAAACGGGAATCAAAAATCATGAGATGCCCGGCATTAGGAACTTCATGGTACTGAATCCATGGGAGTTGCTCGGAGATATGGCTATTGATAACCGACGGGATGATTCGGTCCTCCTGGCCTTGCCAGATGTGGACGGAGCCCTCGTTATTGGGAAATGGATTGGGTAAATCCAATGGACTGAATTGCCAATCCCCAAAACCCATTATCATGTCCCTGTACAAAGATTCATGAAGTCCCTGTTGCCTTAGTCTTTCCTGCAAATGCAAAACAGAAGTTGATGAGCAATAACCGGGCCAACTGCGGGTATGACTAATGCATATTAAGCTATAATGTGCTCTGTTATGTTGTTGCCAATTGACTCACACACATGGCCAAAAACAGTGAGCTCTTCACTTTAGTATTACAGTGTAAGGGTAGGGTAGTAACTTAACATTCATTACCTAACCTATTAACGCTCCCTCTCCCTGCCCATACCATATAGTAGTGAAAAGCACATAAGTCTCGGGCTATTGCTTTTGATAGGTTGACTCTCAAATATTATGCCTTAAGCAGGTCAAATGCACGCAGAGAGAGAATGTATTCTTACAAAAAAGCAAATGAAGGAAAACAGGTGTAACATTATTTACCTGATTGTCATTAGGGGCTTCCATTAGCTGTTGTATAGTTTCAAGATCTTTGGGACAGAAAACAGCCATGTTGCCTTGCAACATACTTAATGAAGGAACCCATTTTTGATTCATCCACCAATGCAACAGCCATGGAGCATAATGTGCCACTCTAAATGTCCGTTGGTCTTGTAAAAGGTGTCTTTGCAAGCCTTCTTTCAGTATTTTTGCAGGAAAACGAGGCCACCAGTAGTGGACAAATGGAACGACAAGTGAAACTCCGGCCAACCTGCAAATTTTGTATAGATTATAGAATCCCAAGCACATATGAAGATGGGAAAAAGTAAATAAAACATATTCTTCTTAATTGAAAATATACCTATGGGGTATGTACTTTAGGCAGCTGTAAACAGCACATGCTCCCATTGACATGCCAAGCACATAGAATTTAGGTCCTAATTGCAACTTATCAGCCAGCTCTTGAATATCAAATGCTTCACTCTTTATAGTGCGTCTTGGATACGGGTCACTCTCACCATATCCTGCACGATCATATGACAGGAGGTATATCTGGAGCTCTTCTATGAGTTCCTGTCAATAAAAAAGAAAAATAAGAAAAACTACTCCCTCCGTCCCATATCTTTCTTCTCACTTTCCTTTTTGGGTCGTCCTATTTGATTCTTCTCATTTCGTAAAATGGAAAGAAAATACATCTGAGATTACTTTTTTACCCTTACTTTTTTTCCTCTCTCCCCCCTATTCTCATTACTCCCGTACTCCCCCCCAATCTCTCATCTCTTCTTCTTCTTTCTTCTTCTTCTTTTTTCTACGTCAGACTCCCTTCACCATCTCCTTCTTTCTCTTCTTATTTTCTTCTTCTTTTTTCTACATCAAACTTCCCCCACCATCTCCTTCTTTCTCTTCTTATTTTCTTCTTTCTCTTTGTATTTTCTTCGCCTCTTTTTCTCTATCTTCATTTTTTCAATGATTTCTTTTTCAATTTCTTTGAGGCATAATCCTAAATTTGACATTCCTAAGTTTGATGAGATCTATTTTTATTTTGTTACGTTGGGAGTATGAAGGAGGGCTGGGGGTAGGGTGGGTTTGAGGTTGAAGAAGATGTTTGGGTTTGATGTTAAAGATGAAGAAGAAAGTAGTGAGATTTGTTAATGGAGGGCAGGGTGGTGAGGGTGGTAGGTGGGGGGCGGTTGAGGTTGAAGTTGAAAAAAAAGGAATTGTTTGGGTAAGAGGAGGGCAGGTGGTCGGCAGGGGCTGGATGGGGAAATAGAGGGCAAAATTGGAAAGTCAGAGTAATTTTTATTTTACATTAAACGAGAAGTTTCAACTTGGACGGAGGGAGTAATATATACTAAACTCGATACTTTGACTTTATGGAGTTCAAGAAATGCGTTGAAAAGTGTGTGGTTGACATTTATTAGAAAGAAAAAGAAATAAAGTTGTCCACATATTCATTTCTTGAATGAGAAAGTGCGAGAGTGTGAAGTTCATTTTGAGATGGATTAAAAAAAAGTAAATTTCATTTGAAGACGAGGGCTAAGTTGCACCGACAAGGGTGTGGTGCTTATTTGTGTACGAGGTCGGATACGTCAAACCACCAACCTTTTCAAATTGATAAAGGATTTGGGTGTTAGAGCATCCCCATGTATCCAAGCAGACACATTTCGGGCTTTCAAGGATGATAAACGATACTTATTTGAAGAATTCGTGCAAAATAGATGGAGGGAGTTTGTTTTGCAATTGAATATTTCCTTCTTTTATGGTGTTGTTACTATGGATAACAAAAGGCCATGCTAGATATAATACATTCCCAAGTAGAATAAGAATGAATGGAGGTAGCCCCTACCTAGCAACAAGATAAGAAGCTCAGTCTCAGGAGTAAAGCTTAGCAAAAAGGGGCTAGAAAGGTACGAAGTGACTCAACCAACGAGAGAGGGAAGAGCCCATAAGGGGATCTATGTCTAAGTGGTTGAAACTTGAAAGAGTCGGTCTTCAAAACCAAGTATTGATAGGAATACTGGGGCTCTATTCGTGCGGTCATAAGTGATCTACTACGTTAACTATAGATAAGGGAGAAAGACCAAAGTAGGACTAAAACATTGAAAATATACCAAAATAGGACGTCCATGTTTTTATTCCCGAAATAGGACTTACATTACCAAACATGGTCATATACATTACCAAAAAAATATAGTAATGTGCACATGTACACTACCACATTACCACAGTGCAAAGTCACATTACAACAATACAAAGTCCTATTTCGGGAAAAGAAACATGAAAGTCCTATTTTGGTACTTTTCTCTATGTTTTGGTCCTATTTAGGGTGATTTCTATATAGATAAGAATGGAGTAAATTCCATAAATGGTCCCTAGTTAAAGGTGATTTTCTATATTTAGTCCTCAATTCTAACATATTACATAAATGGTCCTCAATTTTTGAAATTATACCATAATCAGTCCTTAAAGAGACTATTTGCGGAAAAAATACTTTGTCATATTTGGCCTAAAGGACTATTTATGGATTAGTTTTCAAAAATTAAAGACCATTTATATAATATCTTATAATTGGGAACTAAATATGTAAAATCACCTGTAGAGACCATTAATGGAATTTACTCATAAGAACGTATCAGATTGACTTCTGCTGATATGATAGAAAGGTACGCATTTAACTAATATGTAACTCGGTGAATGAGTTTCACAATCTTTAACAAAATTATAGTAGATGTATACATTCTCAAGCTTATGGAGAACAGTGCAAAAAGTCACAATAAATAGGGGGGGGGGGCATTACTATGCAAAAAGTCATTTCTATCTTGAATTCTTTTGCATGACTCACAATAAATTCGGTATACGGATAAGACTCTCTCTATCCCATAGAAGAGTTCCACATTTCTTTTTTCATTTGTCTTGAAAAAGATTCCTCATTTGTTTTGAGGAAGTAATTGTATGCGTAGTTCACACTACTTCTCTCTCCTCTCCTCGAAGCTCAACTATACACTTTCTTTTATTATTAAGAGCACGTGTCAAACAAAAAAGTGGTCATTAACAATATTACTCCCTTCGTACCATAATCTTTTTCCTAGTTTGACTTGGCATGATATTTAATAATGTAGAATGTGTGTAGTTATGGTTTGTGTAGAGGGGCTAAAGGATTATACACCAAGCACATAAATCCTGTGACTGTACTATATCATTTTATGTAATCCTAAAAGTTTATTGTATACGGAGTATTTAAATGTGAATGGATAATAATGTCTAGCTTTCGATACTTTAAAGCCACAAGGGGCAAAGATACTACCCTTCCAAAACAAAGATTTATAGTTCAAATTTTTGCTAGTAAGGATAAGGAGAGCCTTGTAAAAGTCCTGATTTGAGAATGGGGAAGAGTGAAAGACCAAGAACAACCTACCCAATGTGAGAGTGAAGAGTAACCAGACCTTACCCCTACCCAGGAAGGAGTACGAGTTGACTAAAAGGGGTATAACCTTACCTCTACCTATAAAAAAATGACCAAAAATTCTCTTGATACTTCTCCTTTGTACTTCAACCACAAAGTAGATGCGATTTGACGATAATGCAAGTTGCAAATTATAGGTCATTGAATTTACACAAGCAACGGTTTCCTTACAGGATTCAATCCCATCCATATAAAATAAAAAAACACAAAGAAGTGCGGATTTTAGAAATTCATACTTGTGAGATAGGCAACTCCAAATCTTTAGAGTTATCTAATCCATGGACAATGATGATCTTGTAGGTGGCCTTTTCTTTGGACACACCCCTCTCTCTGTAAGCCAAATGTCTCCCATCACTGAGTTTAATCCTGGGTGACGTCACTGGAGGACCACATGGTGACCCACAAACTTTGGGAGGGGGAGGCTTTATTAGAGCTACATAAGCCCACCCCAGGGCACCAACTGCAGCAGCAACTGCTATTTTCATCATAATAACTGAAATGATGTGAACAAGAGAGTGTGAGGAATATGAGCTAAAAGCAGTAGCAAAATGAGAAATATCTTTAACCCACAGCAGTTATTACGAAATTAAAATATCACAAAGTGTAAGAAAATGGAAAATCACACTTATGGATCGTTTCAAAGAGTGATCCCTCAATTCTTAATTTAGCTTTCATTATCTCACATTGCTCGGTGCTTACTACACCGTTTGCTCCCATTTTTGTTCTACACAGACTATATTGAAACAATTAAGCGACCACATTATCCAATTAGGAATTAAAAGGTTTCTAAAACAGACAACCATTTAGAATCAAAAGCGCATTTTCCCCAGCAGAAGAACTTAAAATTCACATACTAGACTAGGTAGAAATGCTTGAGTTCTCCATATGCAGCAACTCATGAGGTCTCGATCTCCATCTTCAAGGATTCATTTCAAAACGTGATCCCTTATATTTTAACATAGCTTTCTTTTTCCACATGAATTTCGCAGTGGCCGGTGAGAAGCAAACAGTTTTCTCTAGTAGTTAAGTAGTTGGGCTAGATCGTAAACAATTAAGCATTATCCATTCAAGAACTGAAAATTTCTAAATGCAGGTAAGAATATAGAGTAAAAAGTGCAATTTCACCGGTATAAAAAGTTGAATTGCACACAACAGACAAAGTAGAAATGCTTGATTTCTCCATATTCATTGACTCTTCTGCAAGTTCAACCATTCCTTCGGGAAAGGTGTGAAACCAGTAGGAGAAAAAGGGATGGATCAAAATTATTTTTTAATACACAAACATTTTAATTGTACAGTATGAATCGTGATCAGATCTTCTACACGAGTGCTTATAATCAAAATCTTACATCAACCGCAGTCATCAGGGAGTATGAATTTGGGTTAAATAAAAACCTAAGCATCGATGAATCGAGAAAGCAAAATCATCGAATAATACGGAAAGTGAAAAGAAAATCAGCACTGATAAAAGACGGGAGAGAATGATGAAGTCACCACTTGGTGTTTGGTGGAAAGTTGAATCTGAGCTCAGTTTCAGTGCCTAACCAGCAGAAGAACAAACTGAGGAGTCAACAGACAAACCCAGCCTCCAAATTCGCTTTGACTCGGAGAAATTAATTAGTCAGAGGGAAGTATTTTTGCTTCAAATTCCTAGTTGAAAAGAACAGTATCTCAAATACCCATTTATTTATTTTTATTTTTTGTACTTTTTGGATTTTAAAATCTCGATTATTAAAATTAATATAAATAATTTCAGTATTATACATGAGAGGTTAAAGAACGGTATCTCAAATATTCTTTTTATTTTTATTTTATTTTTTTTTTGGATTTTAGAATCCTGATTATTTTAAATAATTAAGTAATTACAAATTTTGCATGGGATGTGCGTCACAAATAATCTATTAATATAAACATTTCAAATCTAAAAAACGGAAGAAAAATTAAACATTTTGATAAACAAAAAAATTATGAAAGAAATATTTTACTCCCTCCGTCCCGCAAAAAACTTCCCATTTTAACTTTCAAAAGATTTAAGGAGAGTGTATTTTGATGTTGACTTTCCAAAAATGCCCTTTGATGTGATGGATAAAGTAGGATGTGATGGGTAGATTAATAGAGAAAAAATGTGATGTGATAGATAGGTTAAGAATTAACAGGGTTAAAAGTGACTTTTTAATAGAAAAGATGAAGGTTTTTTGGGATGGATGAAAAAAGAAAGGAAAAAGGTTTTGTGGAATGGTGGGAGTATTAAACAATTAAGATACATCCAACAAAAAGATCAATAAAGTTACATTTATTGTGCTAGATGCATACATTCATCCTCCTCTAGTCGCTCTTGGGTCCATCTCGCCAACGTATTGGTTAAGCTTATGCCTTCCGAGTTCCTAAACATGGAATCTCTCCCTCTGGCCTTATTGGCGAATTGACACGGGGTTGAAAAATAACTGGTTGAATCACTCCACTATAACACTGTAGATAATTTTGAACAGAGTATATCGGTGGGATGAGACTTTCAGCAACTTGACGCTTAGAGTGAAAAATAGCATGAACATGAACACATGTGACTGCATCGGAACATCATCCGCCACAAGTGCAAATTAAACTCTATTCTCGAGATCCACCATGTAGCTGTAGATAGATTATGGATCTGTTCGAGAAGCATGACTACTAACATATTGGTCGTTGCCGTAGTTTGCAACAGCCCACTTTTGTTTCCTTCGCTCACGACTTCGTAAGATGTTCATAATTTGTGGAGTGATACGAAAGTTTTTTTGTTGCCAATCAAGAGTAGTCTTGTACCGTTTTGTAAACAATTCAACCATTTTGCTATAAGACATACTCAAAATGGCAATTACCAATAACATCCGACAACCTTTAAACATATTACACTACTACAAAAACAACTAAATAGACTGCCTCAATTGCATCGGTTTTTTAGAAAACCGATGCAAAAAGTCTAAAGCATCGGTTATTACAAAAAACCGATGCCTTTGCTATTTTAAAAAAAAAACAATTGAAAAAATAAAATGGGTATTTACATCGGTTATTTTAAACAACCAATGCCAATACTCATTTTATTTTTTTTTTTTGAATTTCATTTTTTAAAATAGCAAAGACATATGTTACACATTAGAAATAGGTTTTTCATCAGTTCTTCATTTCAATGGATGCCAATATCCAATACTCCTCTTTTCTTTCCTAGACTATTTTTTACTCCCTCCGTCCCTCAGTTTTTGTCCATTTTCATTTTTACACACCATCCAATGCACTTCTTTAATCCATTTTATCTTGTAATTTGTATATTAAAAAATTATAGAAATTATATATTAATAATCTATATGTTAAGACAAATCAAATAAGATCACACATGACTATATTTAGGCTTACACATTGAGAGAATTCGATGAGTCAAAGTGCTTAGATGAACAGTTCCAAAAGTCAAAAGTGGATAAAAACTGGGTGACTAAGGGAGTATAAGTTTGTCGACCAAATATCATACTCCCTCCGTCCGGGAATGATGTTCCCGTTCTACTTTTTTTTTCGTCCGAAAATGATGTTCCCACTCTACACTTTTCTCTCTATTCTTCCAAAATTACCCTCATCTTCCTTTCTTTCCTCTTTTTCTTCCTTTCTCTTTTTCCCTTCCTTTCTTTCCTTTCTTCTTTTGGCTCGGCCACTTTTTTTCTCTTCCTTTCTTCCTTCCTTTCCTTCTTTCTTTCCCAATTCCCTGCCCGTCACTTTATCTTCCATCTAATCCTCTTCCTCCTTCTCTTCACTTTCTCCCCCCTTGTCTTTCTTCTTCTTTATCCCCCCTTCTTCTTTCTCCTCCGCCTTTCTTCTAGATCTGCGCACGGCGGCGATGGTGGCGGTGACGGCGATGGTGACGATGGCGGTTGTGGCGATGGTGGCAGCGATGGCGATGGTAAATCTAGATAGATCTTCTCTTCTTCTTTTCTTTCCTCTTATTCTTTCTTTTAGATCTGTCTTTAAGATCTATGCCATGGTGGCGGCGATGGCGGGGCTGTGACGGCGGTGGTCGTGGTAGATCTGTCTCTTTAGCTTCTGTGGAGATCCTCCTCTTCCTTCCACTTCTTCTTTCTTTCTTTTCCTTTTCTCTTTCTCCCATATATGGCATTGTTTGCCACTGTGGGAGATGGTGGTGGGGGCTGGCAGAGTTGACGGGGCTGACGGCGGCGGTGGGAGGTGGGGTGGTGGTGGGGCTGATGGTGGTGGGTGTCTTTGGGCAGTGGTGAGGCTGGCGGTGGGGGGTTCTTGGAGGTGGGCTGTGGTGAGGCTGAGAGTTGCAAGGGTATTTTAGTCCTTTCAAGCCATTAGTCAAGCCATCATTCCCGGGAGGGAGGGAGTATCTTTCTTCTTCTTCTCTCATATTCTTTGATTTCAAGCACAGATTCTCCGTCATCGTTTTCATCACTGTCATTGCGGTGACCAAACCCTAGCCATCAAACATTTCTTAAAAAGGGAACCTAAGTTCTCTCATCCCCAGCTCTGAGTCGTGTCGATCTCCGCTTCTTCTTTCTCTCATCCCAAGATCTGAGTTTGGGCGACAATCGGCGTCTCAATTGCAGGTATTTTTCTTCACCCAACTTAACGATATTTCAAATTTCAATTAGATCGGGCCTCTCCACTGTCTTTTTATATGCTTTTAGCTTGATTTTCTTCTCTTGGATCTGTGAGTTTTTATAGCTGTGTTTTTTGTTAATCTGATGTCCTTTTTCTCGAGGTATGCTTTATCTATACGACATCGATTTGCATAGGGAATATGTTATTGAATCTGTAGATTAATATTTAGATATGTTAGAATTGGTTTAATTTTTGTGTTCTGATGATTCTATTTTTTGTAGCTTAAGCCTTAAGGTAATGATAGTTCATTTTCAATATTTCATTCAGTTGGCATGATATATGTTCATTTCTTTGATTTGATTAGTTTTTTTCGTTCACACTATGTTTGGTTCAAGGATTTTGGATGGGAAAAGAAAAGAAAATAGGAGGGAAATGTTATTTTATGTTTGGTTTGTGAGAAAAGGAAAGGAAAAGTGAGAGGAAAAGAAAAGTGGGGAGAAAATGAATTAAAAAAGGGCGAAATCATTTTCCTCCCGATTTTGGACGGAAAACAAGAGAATCCATCGCTCTCGTCTCTGAACCCTTCTGAAACCTTCTCATCCTAAACACTGCTTTGTCTTCTACCTCAGCCATCTCTGAACCTGATTGGCCTTTCCTACGACGTCTTTGCCTAGGACATACCCCTTTGCAAGCGTGCTGGTAATGGCATCCTCATCCTTTCTAAGGGCAGTTTCTGGTGCGCTTGTCTTTGCAGTTGGCTACAAATCATTTTTTGTCATTTCAAAATTAAATACTTACTGATTAAAGGGTAGGGGGCTGTGTGTCCTGGGCAGTGTGTGTAGGTCCTTGAGGGAGAAATGCATAAGTGACCATTTGTGGGGAAGACACTTGAAGCAGAAATGTGGGAAGGTCATTGGCCCTGCTGCCCACAGGGAATGGCAGTGCCATATCTCTTCTTCTTCCTCCAGGTTTTTCAACCAAGGCCATCCAGAAAATTGTCTTTGAATTTCATTGTGTTTGTGGTTTGCTGCAGAATGGGCATGTTTCAAATGGTGTGTGAAAATCAAATCTTCAAAGACCCCTCAAGTTGTTTGTAGTTAGTACTCAAAACTTCATTGAAAAAAGAAAAATGTATAGTTTTGATTTTGTCTGCTATTAATCTGAAATGAAAATTGTTTCAATTCCAGTTTAAATGGGTGGGTGAGGCATCATATTAATTAAATTGCAAGTTCTTTTTGTTCGGTTATATATTTTTGTTTATATTAATTAAATTGCATGATGATGAAGAAACACAAGATGTGTATTGGAGCAATTGAAGTGGCGTTGGAGTCATAAACATATTAGTCAATAAAATTTTTTGGGTTCAAATTTGGATTTACATTGTTTTCTCACCAAATTTCCTTCTAACCAAACAAAAAGAGCTTGAGAATACATTTTCTTCATCAATTTCCATCTTAACCAAACATAACTAGAATTTTGAGTTTCTTTCTTTTTCTTTCTTTTCCTTATCATTTTCCTTTCTTCCTCAATTCCTTGAACCAAACATAGTGTCAATGTATTTTTCGCAAATCAAAATCCATTCTCGTTCAATCTGAAAAGAATTAGAAAGTGCGGTGTTCATTTCCTGGATCTGATCGGCATATTTCCAAGCACATTCATGTATGCATCGTGCTTGTATTCTTAAATTCATCATTGATATTTTATGTATTTTGCAGAGTGTGAAGAAGAGCTTGAAATCTAAGTTCGACACGCTCGTGGAAGGTGCTGCCTTGTCTGAATTGCCAAAGAAATCTGCTGATTTCTCTCTTATTTTTGAGGTTGTTGATGACTTTCAATTTAGTGAATCCACTGGGGTAATTTCAAAATTCTATTCTCAATTTCATGTCAAAATTTATACATATTGCATTGTATAGGTCGTCTAGTAGTATTTTTGTATATATTGATTCAGAACGTTTACAGATGCAATTACTACTGGTAAATACAATATTGTTGTTGTTTCCACATGTCCGTTATAGCTTATGAATATTTCCATTTCAATTTTGTTGTTGCTATTTCAGATTGCATGTGACTTTGGAATGGGTATTTGGTGAGCTGTAAACACTCATACTCCCTCCGTCCCAATTTATTTGCAACACTTCGAACGACGTGCAAAATATCATCTCTTTTAAAATCACTTTAATTTCAAATTGGTAGAGTAATAAAAAGTAAAAATTACACCATTCAAAAGTATATGAAAAGCTCTATAAAACAAGATGCGACAAGAATATTTTATTTTATCAAATGGTCAACCAAAACGAGTAAACAAACAAAAGTTATCGAGAGGCCAGAATAGTAAACGTGACATTCTTTCTAGGACGAAGGGAGTAATTTTTTTACAAATAATGAAGTCTGATATTCCAAGAGAAAAGAAGAACAACAAATAGTAAAGGAACTTGGTTCCTTAAGAATAACAAAGTGCAAATTTTTTTAAAAAAAATAGGCTTTGGCATTAGTTGTTTCCAAACAACCGATGCCAACGCCTTATTTTGTTTTAAAAATTAGACTTTTCTACCGGCTGTTTAGAAATAACTAATGCCAAAGCCTATCTTTTTAAAAAATAGGGCATTGGCATCGGATCGGTTGTTTAAAAACAACCGATGCCAAAGCCCTATTTAAAAAAAGGATTTGGCATCGGTTATTTCCAAACAACCAACGCTAAAGCCTAATCTTTTTAAAAATAAGGCTTTGGCATTGGTTGTTTAGAAACAATCGGTGCATGCCAAAGCCTTTTCTAAAAAATAGGCCATTGGCATCCGTTGTAAAACAACTGATGCAATTGCCCCAGAGCAATTCCATTGCTTGCATCTGCAATGGTAAAAAATTGATGCAAAATGTCCAAAACAACATATGCTAAAGCATGTTTTTGTAGTAGTGTTATTAAAACTCTCTAAACCGTTGGTGTTCGGGATCCCGCATCTAAAACCATCATCATAAGACAGAGCCCACACTTCACGTATGTAGAATTTTTGTGAAACACTGAATTGATTTCCATTGAGTATTCACAAGGTATATATACAAGCAAGTTTCCTAATACAAATATAGTAAGGATTACTTACAAGGAAATAAATAAATACAAGGAAATAAATAAATAAACAAATATATGCTAACACTCCCCCTCAAGTTGGAGCATGGAGATCACAAATGCCCAACTTGGAGAGTAAGAACGCAAAGAGTGGTCTGTTCAAGGCTTTGGTAAATAAATCAGCAATCTGTAAGCGAGTTGGAACATATGCAGTGGCGACCTCACCGCGCTGAACACATTCTCGGACAATATGACAATCGATATCAATGTGTTTCATGCACTCATGGAAGACAGGATTAGCAGCAATAAACAGAGCGGACTTATTATCGCAAAACAGACGAGGTGTCGTCGGTGGAGTAACGCCGAGTGCCCCAAGAAGACCACGAATCCACCGTACTTCTGCACATGCATTAGCCATAGCACGGTATTCGGCCTCTGCTGAAGATCGGGACACGGTGGTTTGTTTCTTCGTCTTCCAAGAAACCGGGGAACCACCAAGGAGAATAAAATNTATGACAATCGATATCAATGTGTTTCATGCGCTCATGGAAGACAGGATTAGCAGCAATAAACAGAGCGGACTTATTATCGCAAAACAGACGAGGTGTCGTCGGTGGAGTAACGCCGAGTGCCCCAAGAAGACCACGAATCCACCGTACTTCTGCACATGCATTAGCCATAGCACGGTATTCGGCCTCTGCTGAAGATCGGGACACGGTGGTTTGTTTCTTCGTCTTCCAAGAAACCGGGGAACCACCAAGGAGAATAAAATAGCCGCTAACAGAACGGCGAGTGAGGGGACACGTTGCCCAGTCGGAATCACTATAAGCTGATAACTGTAATGAACTGTCACTACGCAAAAGAATACCCTGACCAGGATGTCCCTTCAAGTAACAAAGGACTCGTTTGGCAGCTTCCATATGATCGAGTCGTGGCGCATGCATAAATTGAGACAGAACATGAACTGAATAAGTGAGATCTGGACGAGTGATAGTGAGGTAGATCAAGCAACCCACTAGTCGCCGATACTGGGCCGGGTCACGTAACTCTGCACTGGTCGACCGACCGAGTCCGTGAGTCGGCGTGATGGGCGTTTCGGCCGGTTTGCAACCCAAGAGACCGGCCTCATGAAGAATATCTAGTGCATATTTTTGCTGACATAGAACAATCCCCGCCTCAGATCGAGCACACTCAATGCCCAAAAAATATGATAAGGATCCCAAGTCTTTCAGATGGAAACACCGATCAAGATATACCTTAAAAGAAGCACATAGAGTGGGGTTGTTACCTGCAACCAAAATGTCATCAACGTAGACCAAGACAACCAGGATATCAGCCCCGCGACGATGAATAAAGAGAGTATGATCAGCATGAGCCTGGCGAAACCCGTACTGCCGGAGGGCACAAGTAAGTTTCCCGAACCAATTACGGGGGGATTGACGCAAACCATAAAGAGATTTACGCAATCGACAAACCTTGCCTGGGTACAAATGTGAAAGACCGGGTGGCAACCGCATGTAGACTTCCTCAATCAGATCACCATGAAGAAAAGCATTGTTCACATCAAGTTGGTGGACCTGCCACCCTTTTGCCGCGGCCACCGAGAGCAAAACTCGAACAGAACCCATTTTTGCTACCGGGGCAAAAGTGTCGGTGTAATCCACTCCCAAAGTCTGATGGTTTCCAAGGACCACTAGTCGGGCCTTGTCGCGTTCTTTAGTGCCATCTTAATTAAACTTGGTCTTAAAAACCCATTGACAGCCCAATGCTGTGCGATCTGGAGGCAAGTCTGAGATTTCCCAAGTGTTATTATTAATCAATGCCCGGAGCTCCGTGTCCATTGCCGCACGCCAATTGGCATGTGGTACTGCCTCAGAATAACTTTTTGGAACAAAATGAGGACTGATGGCGCCAAGGAATCCTCGATACCTGTCATGCAATTTATGATAACAAACAAAGTTGGCAATAGGATAACGTGTACCTGAAGACGATGACTGGGAAGGCGATGAGCACAATGGAGCGGGAGATTGAACAGAGTTGACGATGTAATCACTAAGATGAGATGGCTGACGACGCTGCCGTTGAGGACGGAGTGGAGGAGCGGCAGTTGTATGGGAGTGGGGCTGGTCTTCGGTGTGCTGCTCGGCGGCAGCCGTCGGCTGGACGGGCTGGCCGTCAGGTACGGCAGCCGGGAGGGGGTCGGGCTGGGGTAATTCGGGGAAATCGGCGTGTGGGGTGGAGGTAGAGGGTTCGGCTGGCGTGTGATGGGTGGCAAACGGGAACGTGCTCTCGTCAAAAGCGATGTCCCGAGTGTGAAAGAAACGATGAGTATCAAGGTCATACACACGCCAACCTTTTGTGCCAGAGGGGTACCCAACAAACATACACTTGGTGCTCTAGGAGAAAATTTATTGGAAGTCCTGATTCGTACAAAGCATAGACATCCAAAAATTCGGAGATGACTAAGATCGGGTGCTTTGTGAGTCAGAACTTCGAACGGAGACTTGCCACCAAGCAGTTTGTTGGGAGTACGGTTAATTAAATAAACAGCAGTACGAACACATTCCCCCCAGAATTCAATAGGTAAGTGAGCTTGAAACATAAGGGATCGGGCGACATTTAATATGTGTCTATGTTTTCGTTCTACCCAACCATTTTGTTGAGGAGTACCCACACAAGAAGTTTGAACAAGAACACCCAAAGTGGCATAATAGGACCTAAGGTCCTGATTGACAAATTCAGTCCCATTATCAGAACGAACAATTTTAATGGTTTCGTGAAATTGGGTCTGTATCATGGAAAAAAATTGTTTCAAACAACTAGTGACTTCAGATTTATCAATGATCAAATAGGCCCAAACTGCACGAGAGTGGTCATCCACAATAGTGAGAAAATAATGTGCACCAGTAGCTAAACAAGGGGTGTAGGGGCCCCATAAATCGCAATGAATTAGATCAAAAACACTGGTAGCTTTATTGGAACTAACAGGAAAAGAGCTACGAACTTGTTTGGATTGGAAACAAATTTCACAAGTTTGTAATAATTTAAGTTTAGAACTACTGGCAGAGGGAATAAAAGACGACAAAACTTGAACAGATGGATGTCCCAAGCGTTTATGGAGGAGAGAAGGATCCACTTGGGTAGCAAGTGCCGCAGAGCATGGACGAAACAGGAAAACTCCATTGTGTGCATCACCCCGTCCAATCTCCATCTTCGTGACACAGTCCTGTATGACACAACAGTTTTTGTTAAAAATAACAAGACAAGAGGTATCTCGAATAAGACAACCAACAGAAATAAGATTGCACTGTAGATGAGGAACAAGCAAAACACCCCGAAGCACCACTTCGGGCGAGAGCCGCACACGGCCACAACGAGTGGCTGTAGTCTGCGTGCCATTGGGCAACGTGATGACGCAGGGGGCCATGGGAACAACATCGGATAAAAAGGAGATATTACCAGTCATGTGATGAGAGGCGCCACTGTCAATAAGCCACTCACGAGATGCTGCATCTCCATTAGGCCCGGTATCCTTGTCGGAAGACGAAACATCGAGCATGGAAAGTAACCGGGTCATCTGATCAGGTGTGAGGCTCAAGGCGTTGGAGTTGGTGGCTGCATTTGCTCCCCCTGTCGCCGATCCTACCCCTCGGCCAGACCCACGACCAGGGGTGCCACTGCCGCCGGACGGCGCTCGGCCACCGCCGCGTCCCCCACGGCCAGAAGTAGTGCCGCGACCCCCACGCCCCTTCCCGGGCGGGTATCCATGCAATTGATAACACCGATCCACTGAATGTCCATCTTTTCCACAATGCGTGCATGAATAATGGGGGGGGTCTCCGCGACCCATGGTAGGAGCGGGACGTTGCATGGCAAAAGCGAGAGCATCCGTACGGTCATCTCGGCCACGGACCATGCTCTTGTGGCGTTCCTCTTGAACAATAAGAGCATAAGCTCGGTGTATGTCTGGAACAGGTTCAGTGGCAATAATCTGAGATCGGATGTGACCAAATTGTTCATCGTCGAGACCGAGCAAAAAATGATGAGTTTTCTCCTGTTCCTCATGTGCCCGAATCAGAGCCGCAGCCTCACATCGGCAACCACAAGTTGGATCAACCGATCCATACAGCTTGTTCCATAGAGTTACAAATTGATTGTAATAAACAACCACAGTTTGTCCTTTCTGACGCAAAGATTGAAATTCGGACTTCAATTGATGAATACGAGGTCCATTCGAACCCCCATATCTGGTCTTCAGATCTAACCATAATTCATGAGCAATTTTATGGGAGATAATGGAAGGTTGGATGTGTTCATCGACACTGTTACAGATCCAAGAACAAATAATGGAATTATTAGCTTTCCAAGCCGCCAATTCCTGTTCATCCGTGGGTTTAGGAAACCCGGAGGGGTGAAGAAAACCCGCTCTGCTGCGCCCTTCGAGAGCGTTCACAATGGTTTTCTCCCAAATATCATAATTATCACCTTTGAGAAGATGTTTTGTTAAAGAATTACCCGCGCTTTCAGACGGGTGAATGTAGTACATGGAGGTAGGGTCGTGGATGAGCCTGACCTTCTTTGTTCCTTCGGCTGCCATGGAGACGAAAAACGAAGCACCGACGTGAGGCGGTGGTTACACGACCGACGTGAGCCGGGGTTGAGTTGATAGCCGACGAGAGCCGGCGCTGCAAGGCTGGCGACCGACGTGAGTCGATCGGAGAAGGAGGACCGTCGTGAGGCGGTCGATGAAGCTACGGCGGCGGCACCGTGCGTGAGAGAGGGACGAGCCTAGGGTTTGAGAAAATCCCGGGAAATTGGCTCCGATACCATGTAGAATTTTTGTGAAACACTGAATTGATTTCCATTGAGTATTCACAAGGTATATATACAAGCAAGTTTCCTAATACAAATATAGTAAGGATTACTTACAAGGAAATAAATAAATACAAGGAAATAAATAAATACAAGGAAATAAATAAATAAACAAATATATGCTAACAACGTAGAATATCATTTAAGTAGAGATATGACTCTTTTTAAGTAGAGATATGCCTCTTCAATAATGTTCCGTATTTCTCCCATATGTCCTTGAAATTCTTAGATATTAGGTGTGCTCCCAGCGGACCAGACCAGACGTATGAGATCCGAGTTACAGAATTTTGACATGAAGTTTCTATGAATGTGACGTAGGCAAAAGCGCTTCATTATTCTCCTTGTTTGATGTTCAGGGAGATCTCTATCGACGTTGATAATTCCAACATGCCTATCTGAAATGATACATACTTGCAAAGAACGGATAACCCTTTGAACGAAAAAGCTGCACCGTGTTCTTCGGGAGTCATGGGTGGCGCACCAAGAATAGAAATCCCATCAACTGGCAAACTCATAAGACACTCTACATCTCGCAAAATTATACCTATTTCTCCAAATGGCAAATGAAATGCATGTACCTTCCGCCTCCAACGCTCCATCAATGCAGTGATGAAGTCATGATCTAATTTAATGGGATGAACTCGGTGCACCCCATGGAAGTCAGCTCTACGTAGATTAGCAATAACCTTCGGGTCTGTGAAATTTGTAGGATATGCCCATCATACCGACACGATTCTACTTATGCATCAATATATGTCAGGTCATCTAAAATACAGAGGGAACGATGAGCCGCTTGTAAATGTAATATTTCTAAACTTTTTGGTCCAACGAGATCTCTTTCCACTTCATCCATTACACTAATACATAATAATTAATTCATTTGTTAAATTAAAAAAATTACTAACTCTTTTTAATTCGTTTATTATTACCTCCGTCCCAAGACAAAACTTTGAGCTATAATTATTTTTAATTTGTGTTACATAATAGTATAATAAAATATGCTTTAAAAGTTTTTAATACGATAAATATATTAAAGTCATTTTTATGCTAAAATATATTACATTTTTATCTAACTAAGCTTAAAGTTTATTGAGTTTAACTTCAAAAATTCAAACTGGACAAAAACACTGGGACAGAAGAAGTAATTGATTGTAATTACTCCGTGATAAAAATGTTGAGTTGTAGGTCAAATAATCTAAATATAAGTTACTAAATAACCTATTATGCTTTTTTATTTCATTATAAATCAATTTTTTTCTTTATGTTTTACTCATATTGTAAACAAATTTTTGACAATTAATAAAAGAGAGAGAAAGTATGAAATAAATAATTACATATTTTATAATTAAATAGCCAATGAAACAATAAAATGGACAAGTAAAATATTACATACCTTCCAAAAGAAGAAGATTATTTAGACTCTTTTGGAATGTTAAATCTTGTAATCTAATAGAAGAATTTTTTCTTATACTCTTTTACATACGGAGTATATAAAATGTTATTGAAGAGAAGAGTATATAAAAGGTAATTGAGTCATGGAGTGGGGAGTTCGAATTCAATGCTGCACATTATATCGACCCCCCATAAAAGCATCCTGCAACCTTTCAGAAAAATTGGGATTTCAAATCCTGTTTTTCATAGGCCTTACTTTATTATTATTATTTGAGTAAATTCCATAAAAAATCCTCAGTTATAGGTCGTTTTACATATTTAGACCCTACATATCAAATATTACTAATTTAGTCCCCAATTATTAGATTAATTTTCACAAATGTGTTGGACACGATTTTATTATGTGGCATGAGTTATCATTTATCTAATTAATTGATCATTGACCTAATAAATACCCTACGTATTTATTTGGTAATTATTCGATGGACGTAATTACCCTTACGACCTAATTAGGGTTTCCCCTTGAGTGTATATATAGAGGTCATTAGGCAGAGATCAGAACACACCAATCTTACGCCTCCTCTCTGCCTCTCTATTCTCGTGAGTCTCATCCTCACCTTAGCCATCATAACGACACACCCTAAACGGGAACTCAATCTGCGTGAGAATCATGGCCTCATCCCTAACTGCGTTTACAGGATTATCAGGTACACATGATTAAATCCCTAATTTATATTTTATATTTGAGAATTGATCAACATGTGGTATCAGAGCAATTATGTTGGTTAATCAATTCGCTTTCTCTAAAAAAAATACTAGAATCTTTGTCGGAAAAAAAAGGGGATTATAAACCTTGTTTTAAGCTTTTGAATTTGCTCATTAAATCAATTCTTTAAAGTATGATGGAGTACGCTATTAATATCATAGCAAGAATAAGTTTTCTTTAGCTGATTTGTTCTGTTCTCCCCAAAACAAACTTACAATTTGTTCTTGAAATCTCCGCATACTGGTTTTTTCTCTCATAAATAATCGAGAACAATGTTTTCTGAAATTAAATCTTAAATATCCCTGTTTCCAATTAAATTTCATTGAGTATAATTCTGATAAATTGTTCACAGTGTTCATCCTTATTTTGATGAAATCTTCTAATTTTGGTATTTGATTTGGAATATAATTGTGTTTCCTTAAATTGTATGACATATCTCACTTTTGCATAATATATTCTGTTTCCTTATTTATTAATTTATTTTACTCAGAATAGCAAAACTAAATAAGGGATATGCTAAAATACCATTAAAAAGTTATCTTTTACTTGTTAGAAAATCTCTTGCCTTATATGTTTTTTGATTTTCTAATTAAATTAATCTTAATGGGTCCCCAATTTTTGTAGCCCCGCCCTGAACCGCTATAACTTTTGCGGTTAATTAATTATTAATATTAAACTTATAAATCATTTGACTAATCTTAAATAAAATTTATTTTATGATTAGTTAAATTGATTTATTTTGCTTGACTTGAATAATACCTTAGAATACACTTCTGCCCAAAGGTGATGTGTAACATTTGTGAAATTTATTTCAAGTCTTATTAAGCATTGTCATTTAGTGCATATCCTTAAATAGATATTTGCATGACACTCGCCTTAAATACATAATATTTCACTTCTGTCCAAAGATGATGTGTTATAATTATGTACTGCGAACTAAATATATATGTGCATTAAAATTTAAATGTTTCACTTCTGCCCAAAGGTGATGTGATACATTCAAATTGCACATCATTATTTTATTATTCATAATACTTAAATAAGTGGTCATAACCAAAGTGAAAGCCATTTGTTTAAGTAGAATTAAATTTAGTCTATTATTTTGGTGTTATAATAGACTCTTATCACAGCTTCATTACTATATAATGGTCCTTATCTTCGCCAGCCTTAGTT